TAAAATTTCTTCAAATATCAGATTTACATAAATGTAAGGAGTGATGATTGTGAATATGAAAGTAAACTCAAAAAACAGTTTTAGAATCAAAAAATTCCAAGAATGCTCATTTTTCATTTTACTATCTTGTGTATACTGCAGCTCTTCATAAGTAGATATGTTAATGAAAACTATATCTTATAGTTGACATGGCGAACTGTTAAAGTCTAGCCAAAATTATGACCTGCTCAATGGTTCATAACAAAATATTACATGCAACATGCATTTCAATAATGCAATACATACTAACAATGTAAAACTATTGAGTCTTACACCCCAACAGTCATTTAATGTACTGCATGAGTCATTTAAAATTGCACATTGGGCCAAAAACTGCCATTGTTTTTTCTGTACACAGATTTCTTGGATTTCTGCTTGGAACCAAAGATATATTTTAAGATTATTTTACAGTAACGCTTTATAAAAGTACTATTAACAAGAAAGTACCATATACCCATTACATATCTGTGCCCTCTTCACAAACCATATTCAAATGTTGCTTTGCAAACTTAAATAAGCAACAGTCCCAGGAAATAAGTCCTACTTTTTTTTTTCTATGTACATAGGTAACATTTTCTTTGCTGCCAATTTTAAAGACTACATGCCAAACACCACAAACAATAACAAAAATGTGGTATGTTTGCTTAAGTTAGCAACTATACCCTAAAGAATGTTAAAAATAATACCAACTTACATAAAAATTGTGATAGGTAAGAATGTTGGTTTGTTAGAATATTTTATCTACAATTAATTGTTTGCAATGCAAGCGTGCAAATTTGTGATGAGCTTGTAAATTCTTTGGTAATTTGATGCAGAATATGCACCGAGCTCATTTTTTGTGTATTAGAATATATCCCATTGTATAATAATAAAATGCCTTTGTTTAAATACAATGAAACGTTTTTACTTGGAGCCAAATAAAATCGTAAAAGCCCATATGATATATTTGCATCCTGGGTTCAGCATTCTACTAAAGCAGTTTATAACAGGTTTGATGAGCTTGTTTCAAATTAGATCTAGATCCATGCAGAGAGTGCGTCGGAATCTAGCGAGGATGCCTCGCAAGCCTGCACCCGGACCGACTGCATGCTCCCCACGCACCGCGGGCGTCGGAAAGGTTGCCTAACAGCGCGGGGCCAGCGCCAGTCCTGAGCTTGGTTTCAGTGGAAGGGAAGGTGCGGCTAAGGTGCCAATGGAAAAAATGGAAGGTAAAATTTTTGTCTCTAGATTCGGTTCCAAAAGGTTGCATTCTCCTGACCATGCTTACAGAGCAAGAGACTCAAAAGTTGAGAAAAGGGCGGAAAAGGGATGGGTGTGTTTTGTGGTGCTGTCAAGGGCTCGAGTCCAAGTCAAGATCGATGAAATTGATAATTTCCAGTCTGTTCTGGACTGGAATGACTCATTAGTTTCTCCTGGAACTCCATACCACGAAGATATGATTAAAATACATGACATACAAACCAGGTTTCCATTTTATTAATTTGTTTTCCTTCAGTTAAACTTGATCACTGTCTCGACAGGCAACACGCCTCACATAACACTTCTCTTCCCACTGACAAAATACATATAGCAACTGCCACGAGAGTTCGGCGCCGTTAGAGGATGGTGCATTGGCAGCACATGACGCCGTAGTACACGCAGCACTCGAGGCACTTGTCCTCCATGCTGGTGGCGCCGCCGGTGTGGCCGTGCGTGGAGCAGACGCTGTGCCGCCGGTACTCGGCCTGCCCGTCCCCGAGGCTGCTGGTGCCGGCGGCGGCGGTGGTCGCGGTGATCGAACGCGGGGCGCATTCCGCGGACGCGGCGGCCGAGTCCCCGAGGGGGCCGGCGGCCACGTGCCCGAGGTGGCCGAGACCGCGGAGCTCCAGGCCCTGGCCTCCGCCGTCGTGCGAGCTCATGGCCTCGGCCACGGTGCGCCGCGCCTGCTCCGGGGACTTGGCGTGGAAGGGAGAGGCAAGGTGGCTTATGGGCTCCTCGGGCTCCACCTGCAAAGGCAACATGAAATGGTTTATGTCACTTGCTCTGGATCTTGCTGTGGTTGGCTGTGCCCGTGTGTATATGAGACCTGTGAATTTAGACTCATACAGGGTGGTCCACAGACCCCTTCCTTTATTTTGCTTATACTGTACCGGATGCAGGCGTGCAGGTGGGTTGCATACTCGCACGGGGCCATAGGGCGCCGCGGTGGGCGACGGTAGGCAAGCCCGCCCGCACGCCTGCATGCGGTACAGTATAAGCAACATAAAGGGAGGGGTCTGTGGATCACCCTGTAGATCCATATGGCCATCCTCATGCTTCGCTGACTACTTCCCCTACTTCCCCCGACCAGCCGGACCCCTGCGAACTTCAGGCTAGGCCACCCGCACAGGACAGCTGTAACTCCGGACGACGGTCTGCCTACCTACTAGGCGCTATCTTCAACTTTTTTGCTCAATTTCTCTTTCTTTCTCCTTATCTTTCGTCTCTTCAGAATCTCTAAAGCCCACATCAAATTTTGCATGCAAAAACCTATAGTCGTCGTTACATAGTTTGGGCATCATCTGACCCCAGTGCAAAAAGAAATCCCCACTCCCAATGAATTGGCCACCAGCCTGGGGAGGGGATTCTACACTGTCAACTCGTGCCTCGTGGGTTGGTAGGTGTTCTCCTGGGGAGAAAAACTCGAGGGCCCGCTCTGTGCTATATAGAGAGTGGGGAGGGGGAGGGGACTTTTCCCTCTAGTAGAGACAGTCTTTAGGGGACTGTCTAAAAACCAAATCCTATCCGCTTTTCTGGTTTTCCCATAAACCTCCAGCTCAAACGCCCCGGTTCCACATTCCGCCACAGAGGCTCAACTGTGTGCCCGTGGGTGTGGACGCCCGCCCTTTGGGCCCATGCAATGTCAACAAACATTACTGCAGTGCCGCCCGCCCTTCTCCCCGACTGCTGCCCATCACGGCCGCGGGGCCGCGTCGCACTGCGCGGGCCACGGCACAGCTCCAGTGCGAAATGACTGATGGGAACGATGTCAAAACGGCATCAATTGCGTCTTTCCGGTTTCATTTCGATATCGTGTCGATATCCTCTTCGCGTTGGAAGCACCATCGCCCCAGCAGCGGAGCCTGACCGCGGCCCGGCCCCCTCTGCGTTCACGGTTCGTTACCTGCTTGGTATGCCCCTTCTCGCCCAGGAAGGCCTTGAGGTCCTCGATGAGCTGCGGGTGGCGTTCTCGCGTCGGGACGGCGCCGTCGATCTGCACGGCCTTGTCAGCCCGGTTGTCCGCATCGGCGTTCGGCCCTTCGCCGCCGAGCCCCTGGCGCGCGCTGCAACACGAGCCGTCCGGAATGAGGTGACTGGGGACGGGCACGACGTCACCCGAGCCTGCGCACGGACTGTATGTGTGCCGGGGCCGGCAGGGCTAAGCGCTAGCAGCTGGCCAGGGCCGCGCTGGCCGTGCTGCTCGGGCCAGATGGAGGAGGCCCGACTGTCATGCGAGGCGGGGAGAGGGCGAGGGTCGGGCCGGGCAGGACGGAAGGGAGAGGGGAAGCTCTACGGCCCAGGGTGACGCACACACACCGCACACGACAGCATCGAGGCCTTGCTGCAGGCCGGGGGAGAGGGGAGCGCGCCAGGCTGTCCTACGGCCCACTCCCGCGCTTACCTTTGGTCCAGGAGCGGCTCCACTTCGGGCCCGCGCCACATGGCCGCCCTGAGCGCAAAGGGGCTCGCCTGCGCCAGCAGCACCTGCCGCAGCGCGCTCACCCGCGACGTGCCCACGCCGGCGCGTCGCGGTGGCAGCAGCGTGTCCTCGCGGCCGCCGTCGAGGATGTCTTCGGGGCCGCCGCCGTCGAGACCGCCACCGCCAGACTCGCTACCCCCTTCACTGTCTGCATCGGTCGCCCTCTCGTCCCTCTCGTCGTCCGAGCCGTCCGTGGCGTACCTCGTGCTGGTGCCCTGCTCGGCCTCGTCGGCGTCCTCGGAGGACCCGGCCGCCGGCGGCCACGTCATTGCGGACACGGAGGGTCTCGCCGAGGGCGGTGGTGGAGGTGGAGGCGGGGGTGGCGGCGGTGGCGGCGGAGTCACTGGCGGCCAGAGCAAGTGGGCCACCTGCCGCCTCGTGTCTGGACCGTCGGCGCCGTCGGACTGGAGGGCTATCCCGGAGCGAGTGCGACCTGCTGCTCCCTCGGGGGGCTGGAACTCGCCTCTCTCCCTATGGCGAGTATGGGCGATCGGCGGGCCGTCGGACCCGACCGGGATGTCTAGGAGCGTTCGCGACCGGCGCTGTAGGGAGCCCTCCGGGTGGGCTTGCCCGGTGGCTACAGCATCTTGGTCCACACTAAGTGGAGCTTCATCAAAGGGTGAGTCACTGGAGGTGGCCGGGCCCCTTCCCTCCCCGCCCAAATCGCGCTCTCGAGCGCTAACCCCACGAAGATCTGACGGCGCCTGAAGTTGGTCCTGCCCGGGCACTAGTCCGGCGGACGGCTCTTCGACTCGTTCCTGGTCAGGCTCCCCGGTGGGCTCCTTGGCCTCCGGCTGAGCGTCGCGCGCCGTCTCTTGGCCCCGCTGGATGACATGCTCCTCGGGGTGTTCTCTGGCCTGCTCCGGCTGCGGCCCGAGCACCGCCTCCTGCTGCGTGGAGTGCTCGTCGGGATGTTGTGGTCCGTGCGTCTCTCCGTGCTCTCCATGTCCCTGCTGCTGCTCCGGGACCTCCTGGACGCCGCCGGTGGCGCCGGCCGCTGAGGAGGCGGGGTCCTCTTCGCCGCCGAAGAAGAGCGAGCGGCTGAGGCGGTGCGCGCTCTCGAGCACCCACATGAGTCGCGGCTAGGCGGGCCTAACGGGCGGGCCGCACCAGTCGGCTCAGCACGGTCGCGTCACGATCGCACGATGGCCGTGACATGTCACGCGTCACTGAAGGAGTCACGCATCACGCCCCTGCTCTGGCTGCGCCCGGCCGCACCCGCGCCTCTCTCGCACTACTGGCCGCCCGGGCCGCGCCTGCTGCACGCCCCGGACGAGGTCCCTCGTTAGCCCGCGGCTCTAATGAACGGGACCCGCTAAACGGTTAGCGGCCCGGCCCGGCGTGTCCCCGCGCCCCGGCCCCGGCCCAAGCCCTTTCCTGCCAGCCCCGTTTTGCCAAACTTGTCATCACAGTCGTCATCTTTCTAAATCCCATTTTATCAAACGTCGCATTCCAAGATGCGCTCTTGCGCTCGCACTGCTGCAGGGAATGACCGGAGACACGCGGAGAGACACACACACATGCTCACCAATTACAAGCGTTGCACTTGAGCACGTCCATCTGCTGTGGCTGTGTCCGACGCGGAGACGGACTGTGAGCGCCACAACTGCAACGAATTCGGTACACCGGTTTGTGCCAAGACCAAAGCAGACGTGTGCAATTTTGGAAAATGGTTGGTTGAACAGAGCATAATCATTTCCGGGAGGGAAAGAAAAAGGGCGCACTTACGGAAGCGTCAGTTTACTAGACATGTTTTCATGGATGACTCGCCTAAAACGAATCTGGCTTAAATTCGCCAGAATTAATTCAGATTCCTTTTCAAATCGGCCGCGGCGCGGCGGCTGTGAGTCTTCGATGAGTCACGGCCTTGCCGTCAGGAGCAGACGAAACTGTTCGCGGCGCAGTCTATCGGCCGTTTCCACAACTAGCCCCATAGCAGTAAGCTTTTGTTGTGGGGACCGCGATGAAATAGGGCTGCACAAAATAGTAATGAAGTGAAAAACAAGCCTGGATCTACTGACAGAGAGGTGAAGGCCATGAATCACACGGCGTTATCTTAGCTGTAGGGGCCTGTTATCCCCTCACCAACAAACTATCTTTCAACTCAGACTATTCCCCGCTGATGAGATTTGAGTTTCTTTGTGGGCAGGTGTGTGCTCAGGACCCCCCACCGTTCATTCATAGGTTATGTTTTGAATGTCATTGTCATACCTTGTTGTACGACGCAATGTATTTTATACTGGACGTCGTCAGTAAGTGTGATACAAGCCTTTGATGCAGTTTCAGGAATAAGATGGCCTTGAAACCTTCTGTGATATTAGTCACAACCTTTCAAAATCATTATTTCAATTATGTGGTAACATTCAACAACCGAGTTGAACACTCATGTTTTTTAGCACTATTATTGTAATTTTATTTATATTTCTAAAAATCTACCACAAGAATTTTGTGAATTTTTTTGAAGTGGGGGTAGTACTTGTTTAGTCAAGTATTGTTAAAAAAATATTTGTGGAGTGCTCAGCTTTAAATATGATTTTTATATTTACTGTATTGCCAATAATCTAATCTAAATAATTCTTCAAGCAGATCACTTCAAGTTCTTCCCCAATTTGTTACTTCGTTGTATTTTAACTAACTCCTTTTTAATCTTTTTTGTTAAAAAAAAATCAAAACAAACAACCAACAGGAATTCTCTGCCCTTTTGGAGTAGCTCTTCTAAAACCCAGAGATGGATATTAGATGCTCTGGCCCAGTGGTAAATAATATTTTCTTATTCAGTTAACACTTTCTTAGTTAGACGTCATATATTTCGTAATGTCTTACAAGTATTCTTTCTTTTAGCAAGTGTCACCAGCTCTTATGCAATCTTTAGACTCATTTTCTGCTTCTGATATTAATTCTGAACCAAGAAGCATGGCAAGTTTACAAGATATCACTGTTACTTCTGAAAAGTTCACTTCCCTTAGACTTCATTCAGTTTCTGAAAGTAAAAGTGTTTTGCTGTTAGATGGGAATGAGTACCTTCAGGTGATAAACAATCGCAGTAATATTTTTGAACTGTTATTGTTACCAGTGTATAACGTCTTAAAATATTTCTATTTCTTAGGTGTCCTCTGCTGAGAAGTTTGCAAGTTGTCTTGGTTGCCCGAATCCTTCAGCAAAAGTCAAGGTGGTGTCTATTGTTGGAAATTCTGGAGATGGAAAGTCTTACACCATGAACAAAGTCAGTTACATATATTTGTATCCACATAGTAGTAGTTATTCATGTTTTTTACTAGAAATTAAGTCTCAAACCTTTTTTTCATTTTAGGTGTTTTTCCAAGGGGAAGAGGTATTTCAAACATCCAGTGAGCAAACAAGTTGCACGATGGGGGTCTGGGCTGCATTTGATCCTTGTCTGAATGTGATTGCTTTGGATACAGAGGGTTTGCTTGGTACTACAACACGTGAAGGACAGCGTACCAGGCTGCTTTTGAAAGTAATTTTTTTCTTAATAGTACTCTAAGCATTGTATTATCTGCCATGATGTTTTAAAGTAATTCATCTATGACATTTTCAGATTTTGGCTGTTTCTGATGTTGTCATTTACCGCACAAGAGCAGAACGTTTGCATGCAGACATGTTTAAATTTCTAGGCTCTGCATCTCAGGCATTTACGAATCACTTTCGAGCTGCCCTTGGAAATGTGAACTTTGGTCCAGCTGTTGTTATATTTCATGAGACTTGTGACACAAAACCTCTGAAAGGCTGTAAGTTCAACTTATGCAATATTTCAATTCTTAATAACAGAAATCTCAAAATATTCTAATTTCTAAAAACAACATGGTTTTGCAGCATCAAACGAATCAGTTGAGGATATTTTAAGAAGGTTTTATTTCAACCAATTGAAAACTGATGCATTCAGCTCCCTTAGATATATTGGTACTCAAACCAAAGGAAAAACTACAGATTTTTCAGAACTTCGCAGGTTGTTACAAGATGAACTGAATAACACTAGTGTGAGATCTGCAAGACAGACAGACATTGTATTTAGAGCCTTAAAGGTATTTCACTTTACTATGGTTTTTAACTGTATACTTTTAAATAAGCTTTTTTCATCTTAAGTTTGGCATATACTTATGATATATGTTTCTATGTTTCAGGTACTAAACGACAAATTCAGTGGGGAAGTAACTGACCCATCACCTGTGTACTTGTCAGATGAATATTTTACATGTTCATCAAAATGCCTTTCATGTGGACGGCGATGTGAGGCAAGTATGGGGCACCAAAAAGATGAACAACCTCATATGTGTCAAGAGAGATGTTGGTAAGTTTTTACTGTGCATAGTTACTCTCCCTATTGTATGAATGCTTCTTTCCAGTTTCACTATTTTCAAATTTTTTTTACCCCCCTCCCCCAGTTTTCAAGCTCAGTACAACAACATTTTATACACATGCAAAGCCTGCCACACTAAAGGGCATCAAGTTGTTGTCACACCAAGTGAGCCTTCTTGGTTAGATATTGCCAAACATGCCTGGTCAGGGTATGGATTCTTTTTTAATTATTGATCCAATTTACGTCTTTATCGTCTTTTTATACTGTGCTAAGTGCTAAAATTTGATCACATTAATTACATTTTTAGGTACACCATCAATTGCCCATTCTGTGGAGAAATATATCGAAGTCGCCAATATTGGTATGGGAACAAAAGTCCTGAAGATTCAGTTGTGCGCACTGAAATAACTCACGTCTGGCCTGGTGTAAGCTTGTCTTAAATGCTAATCTAATCTAATAGGGAAAATATATCAGTACTTTCTTTGTTTTAATTGACGGTGCTTATTTTTAGAGCAACACTCAAAATATCAACTCACAAAACACTGCTCAAAAAGTTTTGGATGGCATTAATTTTCTATCAGAAGCTGTAGCAAGCGTTGGATCACAACCATCTCGTTACCTTTCATCCCAAATGGCTGATTTGATTGCTCCTAAATATTGGAGGCCAAATCATGAAATTCATGTCAGTACCAACCTACCTGTCTACTTTCTATTCTTTGTACATTTTAACTATAATTAGGTAAATTGCTGAAGTTTTATTTTATTTCCTTCCTTCACACATTAGAACTGTTTCCTCTGCAAAAAAACCTTTGCTCCTGCTGAAGCTAAGCATCATTGCCGTTCATGTGGTGAAGGATTTTGTGATGAATGTTCTTCATTTAGCCGTTCTGTACCAGAGAGAGGATGGATTGACAAAGTCAGAGTTTGCAAATCATGTTATGACATCAGTGAGTACTAAATTTGCTAGTTTTTATTATTTTCAATAACATTTTCTCTATTCTACTTTGATTTCCTTTATTTTCTTCTGCAGAGAAAGAAACTAGAGTACCTTACAACCCTGTAGATGAGGTGGAAGTAAGAGCCAGAAAATATGGGGAGGTAGTTGTCAATACTTTCAGTTCAGTCGCTTCTGTTCTCCAATACCCTAAAGGTAAGCTGATAAAACCAATTCATGAGAATGCTCCGCTCCATTACTCATGCAAGGGAAATAATAAGTCATGTGTGTTTTCTCCTAGATCTTATAAAGGATTCCGCTCGACCCACATATTGGGTGCCAGATCATGAAGCTAAAACATGTGCTGTTTGTAAAGAGCCATTTGGCCCGCTCTTACTACTTCATCATTGTAGGGATTGTGGCCAGGCTGTGTGTCATCCATGCTCACCCAGTCAAAGGAGGGTTCCAAGTAGAGGATGGGACACCCCTGTTCGAGTATGTAACACTTGCATGAAAGAAGACTGACTCGATCAACAGCTTGTCCCATTCAACCCAGTGGCAATGCCAAACTACTTATTCTTTAACAAAATGATACAGAATATTCAAACCTTATTAATGTAACAAAGTTTTGCTCTTATTTCTCATTCATAAGCTGTCTTGTTTAGGACACAAAACTTTGAGCATTCAAATAGTTCTTAGCCAAAGCAGTTGATGATGGTTTTGGTGGTTAGGGTGCTCATGAAGAGTGTTAACATTATTGTAATGAATTATTTTCTTCTTTCACTAGAAAAAGTAATATTGATGGTTATTCCCTAGGTTTGGGCTAGGATTAAAATAATCCGTACTTTTAGGCATACTGATGTATGTACTCCCATTTTAGATCTTTGATGAGACAATTAAGGATTAGTTTAGTTTTATGGTTTTCAGAGACGGATTTAATGCTGGCTGAATGGGCATTGCTCAACCCATTTAATGTCTGGAAAATCAGTTGTAAGTAGGTATTGTATGGCTGTGATTTGTCAAGATGTCATTTGACAAGGATGTTGGATTTGAATACCAAGCAGGTGGTATGTAATTTTTCAGTAATTTATTCGCCACCTTGAAATGGTTATGATTACTGAGCTAGAATTGAATTTGATAGAATTGAACTAACAAACACTGGTGTTACGTTTGTGGAAGAAGGATTAATGTTTTAACCTAATCCTTAGCGGAAATAAGAATTCCGGTTAGAGATTTTCTCCTTATCTGTTATATATTCTTTTAGAAGGGTAGGAAAACAGCAATGAGCTGAACAGAAACTGATTTTCATTTTTTAAACTCAAGATTCTTTTCAGTTTGGTGCAAATCAAGGCTGCTTACCAGTGGGTAGATACTGCTAAGGGTAATTATTAGGTATTTATGTGTTTCACTTGTGATTTGTTTGTGGTATGTTTTATTTTCTTGTTTGTCAAACTGGATGAGAAAAGGCTAAAGAGGAAGTAAGAGCAAGTTCTAAGCATTGTGATCTTTGTGCAACTGGCTTCATAAACTGATGGTTCAGGTTTGGCTGTGGTCTTTATTGACTGTGTCTGATACCTATGAGTTCTTCGAATCAAAGTTTCATATGTTGTACAGTATGGTACTCACTCAAGTCAGAAACCAAAGGATACTTTATTTGTGTATATGTATTCGGCTTAAAAAAGATCCTTCAACAATGCAGGTCATTATTTGCTCTTGTGATAGACTGTGATTTTAAAAAGTATTGTTTGCTATTATACCAACTTATTGTTATAGACTTCTTGTTATTGCAGCATCTTCAAAATGTATTTTGGGAAGATGTTATTTTCCATCATTTTCTCAATCTTCCAAAAGTGCTTCAAAAATATGCTTGCTGTATTACTTAAAATTCTGGAAGTGCAACATAAAGATTATGTGTAAATTTATGGTGTGTGTGTTCTGTTTTATTCGTAGGATATCATCTTGTTTGTTTTTTAAGTATTTTTATCTTTCTTATCAAACTTACTGGACTTGTAGACATTTTGGGTAGCTCCAAATAAACTACTAAAGATTGGTATGTAAGTCACATATCAATTTTGTTTTTAAAAAGAATTGTGTGAAAGGTATATTATTGTCTTTGTTAAAGCAATAATTTTGTGTTTAGTGGAAGAATTTTGTTGATCATCACATATTTGTCTGGTAAAATGCTTTAAGAGAACAAAAATTGATTAATTCAGATTATAAATTTATAAACTTATACCTGGGCATGTTCCCATTTATTGTTTCTCAGATTCAGCACTGATTAAACAGAACCTAAAAACACATATATTTGAAATTAACATTAGTGCAATTTAAATGGGCTGTAATGGCTAAAATGTGAACCTTAATAGTGTTCTGTAATTAGTTATATATTGATATTCTCACTTCAAGAACAGACGACACTAAGATATTCCGGAACCTAAATCATTGTAGCTTTGTACATTGAATGACGTACTCTATTTTGTTAATTTTTGATTAATAATACTAGAATTAAAGAGTGACAAAATTTTAACCACCTCAGAATTGCTTTTATTTTGAGTTATCAAAGAAGGGTTGTTCTCCACTGTGAAAGTAATAAACAAACGTTTGATTCGTATCCGATTGTCTGCTCACTCAGAATTCCCAGCCTGTTCATTTTTTATACGACATCTCCATAAAGAAACCGTGACACAGAGGTTTAAAGAGTCGCGCGATCAGCTGTTTTACCACAACAACAAGCGCTCTCTTGTTTTTTTGGTGGATGTTTTTATTTTTCTTCTTCCGATCTGAGAGCAGCACCACCAACCGTGTTTCTGAAAAGAAAATATTCCCCATACGTCATTCGGCGGAAATAAGCAGGTAGCTTTCAGATATTACACTCAAATGAAATTGGACGTTGTGTTTTGTATTCGAAAGAAAAATTTGTCTTTCTAGAAAATCTTTATTCCTGTTTCAGAAAGTTTGAAATATTTCCAGAAAGTGTAGATTTTTTATCGTGCATTTTCAGGTGCTGCGTTGGCAACAGAGTGAAGACGCGAAGGAGCAAGCCAGGAGCATCGCGTTGAGTCGGAATGCTGTGTACAGCTAGTTTTAGGGCGTAAATTTACGATTTTACTGGTAAGTGAAATTTTATGTACACTTTCTGAGTAGTATTTTCGTTACGTCTGCTAGTTGTGTCAAATTTGATCTCTGTAAAGATGCGTGTTATTCGCTGTAACGCTTTGAAATCGCCTGGTCATGCCTTGGCCTTATTCGTCCAAGGTGTCTGACTGAAACTTGACCCATATTTTGAGACGCGTTGATTTGCCAGGGGAACGTTAAAATTCGATTTATGAATGGTTTTCATGAATGTCATGAGTACTGTCCTTGCTGTTTGCAGTCATTCCAGCACCGTATGTGCCTGAATGCTACACTTAATTGTGCTGTGTACAGTTTTATGCCTTATTTGTCCTCATCTTTCCACGTCTAGCCCGATCGCGAGGTAAACACAGCCACGGGTCAGGCAATGCAGCAAGGTGGACTTTTGTTTTCTTGATCTTTATATGCCTGTGACAAAAAGTTTTAAGCAATATGACTGAGTGGCATAATTGCAGTCAGTTTGTTTCATTCTTCAGTTTTAAATGTTTACTTTAAATTTATAGGCTATGTGTGTTCAGTTCAGTTCTGTTGGTTTTATTCCTCTCTTTAATTTTTTTAAAATTTATACAATTTGATCTTATATAATATAAGCTATGAACACTAGTTCTGGGTTTGGTGTTTACTTTCTATGAAATGTCTTGCATTTCTGTATATGCTGAGTGTCGTTTAATTTCGTCTCTCCAAATTTTCTTTCTAACAATTCAATGTAGGAGCCAGGTTATTCGGTAATTGTAGGCGGTATGGTATTAGAGAATTGGTGACGTGATACTCGCTTAGTACAACTATTCAGGTCAATCTGTATTCATAATATTTCTCTCCAAATTTAAAGGGCTCTAGCTTGAGGTTTGACTTTGCGTTAACAATTAAGGGTGTGACCAGTGTTATGTCTTTAGAATAATTTACGTACGAACTTTTTTGAATTTCCACTCTAATGTCGACAGTCACTAATTAAATACCCCGGGTTGATAGAATGGGTCTTCGACTATAGTCATACTGGCGAAAGAACAACAGTTGCCCTTATATCCACCACGCGTTACCGTGCTATTCTTCCGCCAGGAGTACTATAGTTTTAATCGTTTTAATAGTCAGTGATCAAACTTGAACCAGCGTGCGACCAGGGAGTAGGTGCTGCGTCGGCTGGGGATTGTTAGTGGGCTTGAGCTGCTCGGGGGGCGATGTCGAGATGGCCGACGTTCGACATATGACGTCCTCGATGGAGACTATAGCAGCATTCGGCCTGGCGTGGAGCGGCGTGGCGTGAACGCGCGGGGCTGAGAATAAACTAGCACTGCCTCCTCGCGTCTCCTCGGCTAGAGACACTCGGCAGGCCGCCGGCCAGGTCGGCCGGGGCCGGCCATGTAATGTAATGTAATGGGTCTACCCTCGGTCTAGCAGCCCGGTCGAGTGCGCTGAGGCTGGTCATGTAATGGGTCAAGCCTATGTCTAGCTGCCCGGTCGAATGCGCTGAGGCTGGTCTTGTAATGGGTCTAGCCACGGTCTAGCAGTCTGGTCGAGTGCGCTGAGGCTGCTCATGTCCTAGGTCTAGCAGTCTGGTCGAGTGCGCTGAGGTTGGTCATGTAATGGGTCTAGCCTAGGTCTAGGGTCTAGCAGCCCGGTCGGCCTCCGGGCACGCTTGCGGACCGCGGCCGCGGCCTAAGTTAGTGAATGAGCTCTGTGTGTGTTCTTTTTCATCATCTGACTATGGATTCACGCCCGAGGGACGCGGGGCTTGTTCTTCTCGTCCCAGTCCAGGGTGGGGCGTGCGCGTCAGAACGAGGTGCTAATTGCCACGAGGTCCACCGCTATGAACGTTGCTGGCGGTGCAGCCGAGGCTGCGACTGCGAGTGCGTCGGGCCGGTCGGACCGCCACCACCATGACCGTCATCGTCGCTGCCCCCCCCCCCCCAAGTGTAATACTGGCAACCCATCCTCGAGTGTAACGGGTGTACGTGGCCGAGAGATGGCCGACCTTCGCGCCGCTTATCACACACACACACAAACACACGCACACACGAACACACACACCTAAACACACGCACACGCACACACACACACACACACACACACACACACAGAGAATTGCTCAGACGCTTCGGCGTCTACACTGCTGCACGCGCAAACGCAGGGACTCACCCCCCCCCCCCTTTTGTTTCCTTTTGCCCTGTGCGTTATGTGGGCTTATGCACGGCCCAACGCAGCTGCAGATTGTTCCTGGTCACCCGGTCGCATCGCATGGCATGGCGCCGGCCTCAAGGTCACCGCGAGATGGTCGCCTCGCGCCGCCGCTTGCCCGGTTCCGCGCCGCGGTGGAGAGAGGGGGAGCAAAGAAGTTCGATCCGTGCAGCGGGGGCCGACCCGGACCCTGCTGGGCCGCATCTAGGGCTGCTCGCCCCAAGCCCCTAGGTGCTGCGCTGCGCCCCAAAACGGCACCAAGTCCGCCGTCCGCCGCCGCCCCGGGAGGCGCGGCGCTCTTGGCGGCTGAGCTGCACGGGGGATCGACGACAGTGACGTCGGTGGTCCCCCCCCACCCCCGCGCCGCCCGCGCACTTTCCCTCACCCCCGTCAGTCTTCCGCCGCCGGCGCCCACCTTCCTATCTCATTTTGCGCGTCACACCAAATACCCAGTCCCTTCCCTTTGGGCGGCCCGCATGTTTTCCCTTCCTCTCCTTCCTCGGTCCGGTCCCTGTCGGTCGGTCCGCTGGCAGCAGCAGGCATTTCGGGTCGCCATGGCTACACGGCCGCTGCTGCGCCCCGCGCCCGCTCGCCGCCCGCCCGCGCACCCCGCCGCGCTGCTGGCCGCCCGCTCCCCGGATGCGGTAGCCATGGCAACGGGGTGGGCCGGGCGTGTGCGGCTAGGCCTGTCTGTCCCGTCGGCGCGGCGGCGGTGGGGCCTTACGGCACGTGACGACATGCATGTGCCTTTCGCACGGAGAGCACTCTGGCAACGCGGCGCGGCCGGGCGCGGAGCAAGCGGCGTGGCGTGGCTGTGCGATTGGGCCCTAGGACAACACGCGGTGTGTGCCCACGAGCGGCCGCCCCGCCCCGCCCCGCCCCGCCCCGTCGACACGCGCTGCTCTATGCGTCGCCTTGTGGGGGTCACTGCTGCTTCTCTCTCTCTCCCGTCGCCGGCCGAGAGATGCGCTTCGCACTAGAGAGGCCTATACATACAGAGGCTGCGTATTGTGGACCAGCCCCCCCCCCCGCTTTTCCTCCCCGTCGGCGACCCGAAATAGGATCCAGACGGTCCGGCGCGGCGGCGAGCGGGTGGCGGGTGAGAGGCGGCGTGGAACGGGCTAAAGGGCTTCGGGCGCCGCCCCTCCCTCCCGGGGGGCGGCTCTGGAGAGGCTGCTGCCCCGCGCACCCTCGCCCCGCTGCTCTGCTCTGGGCGCGCGGAGCTGGAGCGGAGGCGGAGCGTAGCGGAGCGCCCACGGATCGCAGGGTAGGCGCTGCCAATACAGGCGTGCGCTCGGCTTGCCTACCCTCCGGGCGCCCGCCCTGGCGCGGCGGCGCGTAGCGCTCGGCTCGGCTCCAGAGAGCATCGGATGCCGACAATGGCGTCCGAAAGCGGTCGGTATTGGGAGTGATAGGCTTCTTGCGCCGGGCCACAGCTCCCTCTCACTCCATTTTGCTTTCGGACGCCGTGTAGGTAGGCATCCGATGCTCGCTCGCTGCAAGCTGCAAGGCTCTGCTCGGCTCTGGTGGTGCCGAGGCCGGGCGTCTGTCTCGCTCTGGTCCAAGTGCGCTCGCTGAGCCCTGCACCGGGCGGGCGGCATCGGATGCCGCCGGTTTGGCGTCCGAAAACGAGAGTGAGAGGCGAGATCTCCCTCGAGGGGGCTGGCCCGGAGCGAGCATCCCACTGCGAAGAACTCGGTGTGTTTAGTTTAGCCCGATCGCATTGGTCCTGGCCGAGGCTCGCGGCCCGCCGAAGGCCGTTGTTGGTGAGAGGAGGAGGGCAGCGCACTCCTCACCTCACCTGTCACCCGTACGGCGTACTCTAACTGGTCAGGCGCCTAATACGCTGCTTTCTTTGCGCGCTCTTTCTAAACTCTCACTAGCCGCTCTAGGATGCAAAGTACTATGGGTATCCGCGGAGGATGGGTGGCTTTGGCTCGCTGAGGTGGGCGTTCGCGTAGGCAATCGGGTTCGAAAACTGTTGACAAATGTCGCGCTCGGTGGGCTGTCTCCCTCTACCCTAAATAACCCACCGGGGCCGCGTGGCGCGGCTGGTGCAGCAGCCTGCAGCGCGGGGCTATGTCGCCCGCCCACGCGCCCCGCACCTCCACCGAGGCCTCCACCGCGAGGCCCCCTCACGGGTCCCGGCCCCGACCTCCACCCGCGACCCCGTGACCCTGTCCGATGGGCTGGCCCGGGCTACGCGCCCCTGCTCTGCGTGCCTGTTGGGGACGCTGGACCGATTTCGATTTCGTTTTTCGATTTTTCACCAAAACGAAGCGCCTTGTCTCCCCTTCCTACCAGGGGAGTGAGAGAGAGGGGGGGTTTAAATTTAGCTTCCGCATCCCCGTAGGGGGCTGCCTGCTAGGGTGAAACTTTGCGCTCGACTTGGATATGGCTCGTCGCAACCTCGAATTCGAACCGCACGTTTCTTGTTTGAATAGATAATGTCTTTCCTTGAGGCATTTGAAATTTTAAATAAGCCACGTTTCGTCCGAATCTAAGAGTTGAACTCAAACATGTACGCGGACCCCACCTTAACGCCGCGGTGGAAGTGGTCACTGTGCGAGGGGGAGATTCAGCTGGTCGCCTTGAGGCTTACACGCTACTCCTTGCACAAAGCACAGAACTCTGTACGGACTCGGGGCGAACGGTCTACTCGGTTGTACTTTGTGACCCCACGACCGGTCACAGGGAAGGACCCTACTTCCATCCGTGTATCTCTCTCCTGCTCCAGTCGCTAACGCCGTGGGCAGAGTGTGGGGCGGTACAGTATATAGTTTAGTGTACAGTAGTTCCTCCCCGCCTGCTTCAAACGTCTACCCAAAAGCGCCGTGGCATTGACCTCGACACACTAACCGATGGGACGGGGTTGGGTTTGATCCCCCTCCCCTCCTTTTCCCTCTCATCCTCCGCCACCCCTTCTCACCACCCCCACCCACACCACACCCCCTCCGTTTCATATTTCCCGTCACTTTTGCCCGCATTGTCCTTCCTCACCCATACTCTGCCCACCTTCCCCTCCCAGCTTTAGCCCCAAACCGCCGGGGAAATGGAATTTGCCTACGTACGGAGGTAAAAGGCCAAGAGGGCTTCGGGATTGATACATTTTTAGAGGGGTAGAGGTGGAGGGGGCGGGGAGGCGTATACTGGGACGGACCCACCCCAGCCGCAGGTCATCGGGTCCAGGTGGGACATCCAACCCTCCCACCCTGCGCAGCTCGCTTTGTCCCGCGAACTAACCGTGCGAAACGGCCGTATAGGTGCGCTTTGCGGTGCTTCGCGGTAACCATGACAACTGCCCGGCCCGGCTGGCCCAGCCTGGCCCGCCCAGCCCTCCTGGCCCCTGGGCCGCCGCCGAGTTTGCTCGATAGCACCGGCCGCCACCCTCCGCCCCCGGGAGCCGCTGGGTATCCTACCCCACTGGGCTCCGTGCCCCGGCTTGAACGGGTCGCGGGTCGCTCCTCCGTGGGCAGGGCGAGGAGGAGGGTAGGCCCTGCCGGGGAACCCGAGCCCGAGCTGTCAGCCGTCTGCTCGTCCCGTCTTCACCCCGCGCCCCAGTGACTCACATCTCGACAGCAAGCAACGGGTGTGGGGTCTTGCTGGGGTACTGACTGGCAGCTCTTGGGGAGGGGCCGTACAGAAATTACTTAAGAGGATTGGGTTGT